GCCGGAAACGTATTCACATCCGCTTGAACAAAAATTTTCCATTGTTTCAATAAGGAAAAGCCTGACGGTGTGTGAGGGTCGTGTGTGTGTGTGTGTGTATCATATGGCATAATTACAGACACATAAAAGGCGCCTTGAAGCCATACAATATGACCATGCCATGGCCGTGGCTCAATAAAGGACTCTTTGCAGGCCGTCAGCTGTTAACGGCCCTGGAAAAGGGTCTGCAGCGATTAGGGCACATAAAACTTATGGCCAGACATGGCCCAGCATTAGGCCCCAATGGGCTGGTCATAATTGACAGCTGCGCCAACGATTCACTTGACCTCGCACACAGCACTAGCTACCCCCATTCCACCCACACAGCTGACGTCGCTGCTGTTGCTGCTGCTGCTGCTCGCTTTGTCCTGCGCGCGTTTGCATATTAAGCATTTAGCTGCAGTCACACCCAACCTGTACAAGCACCCACACACGCACAGAGACCGGCACGCACACAATTGCAATTGACCGTGAAATTGTTGGCAACTGCAACTTGGCCATGATTGAAGTGGCCATCGCTGGCTTTCAACTTTGCACCATTTACCTGCTTTGTATACGCTCGCTCAGGTGCCTTTAAAGGAGTTTATTGGTTGTATATTCTGTTTGCCTATCTGACAGAAATAAAGAAAATCATTTGGGAGTTATTAAAGACACGCCCAATCGAGGTGTGCCAGACTAGGAGTTACTATAGGTTTAAAGTTAAAGAGCTGAAGAATAAGCTATATATAGACTATATGGACTCTATAGACTCCATTAGACAGCGTAGACTCTATAGACTCTATACACTTCGTAGAATCTATAGAGTCTCTAGCTTCTCAAGTCTTCTGCTCCTTAGATTTCATAAACTCTGTAGACTCTAGAGTCTCTATAGACTTTATAGACCTCTCAAACTCTATAAGCTCTATAGATTTCGTAGACTCTATAGACTTTGTAAACTCCATAGACTCTCTAGACTCTGTAGACTCTCTAGATTCAAAAGACTTTTCCTCCATAGACGCCATAAACTCTATAGTCTCAATAGACTCTACAGTCTTTATAGACTCTATAGACTCCATATACTCTATAATTTATATAGACTCTACAGACTCCATGTACTCTATATTCTACAGACTCTATAGACTAAATAGTTCCGCAGTTGGTTAACATGCTCTACAGATAATTCTTCTATATATTATATACCCTCCTATATAATATGAATATTTAATAAAATTGCATTAAGTTCTGCTCCGTCAGTCGCGTATTATGCCGCCAGTTACGCCCGACTGCAATGTTCTTATAAGTTTTTTCATGTTCGCTGCCCGCACAGTCGACCATAAAATACACACACACTCCAGGTAAGCTTTTAAGGCAAGCAAAAGTATAACAGTTTATGGCACTTAAAAATAATTTATGATATTCTGCATTAAACTTGTGAAAACTTTGCTAAAATTGTAAACAAAGCCTTAACAGGTAAAACTAGCTGAAAATACACTAAAAACCTATAAATATACATTTTCGGTTAAATGTTTGGAATGAACTGTAATTAAATGTAAATTATTTAATATATTCTAAAATTTTATTGTATTTGTTAGTTAATTATATCACCTTAAATGGCTATCAGGGCTTCTTAAGTCATTTACTAATGATCGACTAATTACAGCTGTTGGATTAACATTAGATAAGTTTAATATTAAGAACTAAGCAGAAGCTGCTTTAAGCATTCACAATTATATACAGAGGAGCTCTTCTACTTGATATTTTGAAACTATTTAAAGCTTTTATAGAATTCAGTTTTCTGTATACGTGTGCCTTTCTAAGCAATTCTCATATAGCAGAGGCTTATATTCTAAGTGAGAATTACATAGAAAGCTGCAACAAAGCTGGCTCAGCTCTTGCGCTTCATTTAGAAAGATATCAACTTTATATGCATCACAAATCATATGCAATCAAGGCTTAAACTTTCATCATAGATCTTATGAAAAAATATATATTTGTGTATCAAAAATTTTTTTCAAAATTTCTAAAGTTAAAAAACATATTTAAAAAAATTTTATAGTTGATAAGTTTTACTTTTCTAACACCTAGCAACAATGATTAAGGCTTAACGGCTGAGAATCACATAGAAAGGCAATTAAATATATTATGCAATATTTGTTTTTTTTTAAATATTTTTTAAATATTTTCTTATTTACACCATTTTCAATGCGTCTCTTTAATGGGTAACTCTAAGTCCGGCTAGCTGTTCCAAAAAGCCCAGCTGCTGTGTGGGCATTCAAATGCTTTGCATGCAAATGCCACAAATGGTAACAAGTTGTTTTTAGTTGTTGTAAAGTTTGTTTTCCATGAATTTGCCATTTTACCGCCCTCACCCCCTCGCCCACTTCCTCACTCTCTCTCCCTCTCTCTCTCTCTCTTTGTTATTTCCATGGAAAAATTCCCTCATTGCATTCAATTATTCACACTTGGCCGCAAATCAAACAGATTTGCAAATTATGCAAGCCGCCTGCGGTTAAGGCCACAGTGGGCGTGGCAAACTGTGGCAATGCTAATAATTATGTAGTTACAAAATAGAGACTAGGGAGAATCGAGTGTGGAGAATGGAGAATTTTAAGCACTTTTGTGTCTCAGCTTAGCCGTCGGCAGAAATTCAATACCATAACGTCACATTGAGGCTTTGAGCCAAATTTCACATGTCTGTTGGCTGGTAAATTAATCAGAATATTGGCCAAGTCGTTGTTGCGGTTTGGCTTTGTTGTTGCCCGTTGCATGCCGCCGCTGCCGATGCTGCACGTTGCACGTTGCACGTTGGTCATTGAATTTGGCTTAATGCAATTTGTTTGTGAGCCACAAATTTCAATATGCACATTCCTATGATTTAGCTCTCGGCTCTAACATCCAATTCTGGCGTGTCAAAAGCATTTTAGCATTTAATTAATAAATAACAAACATGATTTCAAGCCTGGCCTCAAAATGTATTTGCGGACAGCTGATAAGCGGCAGCTTGATAATGCAAAGCTGATGTGAAAGACTACAAACTCACTGAAAAGCAATTCACCTAATTATAAAGTAAAGGCAAGTCTTTGAATGAGCAGTCTGGGCAAGGGGGAAGCAAACAAAGAAGTCAACATTTGGTAAGAGAAGGCAGCAGCAACTTCTCAACACGGCAAGCAGCGAAGCACCACAAAAACTTAATCAAAAATGTCAGCAATTTAAAGCAGTACTGGAAGGTGAAGGGAGAAGCCATGCGAGAAGCTAAATGTATAATAAAGTAAAGTGTAGAGCGTGAACTAGACGAGAGGTGAAAAGAAAATTCATGGCGAAAGAGAGAGAAGCACAACTAAGCATAGAGAAGCTATGTGAAAGGAAAATTGAAGCCAGTTGGCATCGAAAGAGCAGAGAAACTAAAAGAAAATATTAATTATGAAGGTAAAATTGAAGCGAGTGACAAATGAAAGAGCAAAGCAAACAGGCATCCTACGATAATTGAAGCGAGAAGCGAACTGAAGACAAAGTAAAAGCAACAAAGCAACAAAACAAGGCAAGAAACGATTTGGATATGAAATATGAGAAGCAAACAAAGCATAGAGTAACGAAGCAAGAAATATGTATGGAAATGAAAAGTGAGGGAAAATAGAAGAGAGAAGCGAGTTGAAAGTAAAGCGAGTGAGAAGGAAACCAAGAAGCGAATGAAATAAGTAACATAGCAAACAAGCAAAAGGAAACCTGAAAGCATCATTAAAAAACAAGAGAAAACAAGAAGTGAACTGCAGCAAGAAGCGAAGAAAGAAGTGTTCCTTAAGCCAATTCCGCTTTCATTTCATTTAAATGAATATCTTTACGACTATTCAAAGAATGAAAGATAAATATCTCGTTTCACGCTTTAAGAAAAACCTTCAACACTTCTCATTCCCTTCTCTTTGTCACAAATATAGAAATCTGATTTAGCCCATATTAAAAAGTTTTGATTTATTATTGTGTCTACAATTTATCTTATCAAAATATCATTTAAATTTAAATAAAAACAAATCTCAGAGTTCTACGCACAGCACTCACTCACCGTCTCAAAATGTTGCTGTTTGCTTTGAACTTGTTGTATTCATGAAAATTTATCTATGGCCCAAACACAACACCCACACACACACGCATAGAGTCCGCATGATAAATGCGAGTTTTCTTTAGCTTTGTTTGTCTGCGTTGAAATGCCCAAAAATGTGTTTGCGGTTGCTTTTCAGAACTGAACTGAAAAAACATTTGCCAGTCACGATGCTTTCCTTTTCGCGCCTGAGTGGGGTAGCATAATTTTATGATGGCTGGTGTAACACCCTCAAGCATGATTGGCTGAACAATGTTTTCTTTTTTTGTATTTACGATTTCAAAATAAGCCAAAAGAAAATTCTTATTTCGATTGCGAGTCGAGCGGCTTAGCTCAACTACTTGTTGAGCATGAGAGCTTGTGCCAACTTTCTTATTGAAAGGAAATGTTCTAACATTAGATATATACTAAAAAATAAACTCAATTTTCTGTTTATTTCATCATATTACAATAATTTACTCTTTCCCCATCTATGCCAGCTCATCTCATAAGGTAAAGTTTCAGGGCTGAAGATTAGCTTGTAGATTTTTCAGAGTATTTCAATAAAACTTTTAGAAAGAAATCAATTATCTATAACATTTTTCTGTCTCAATTTCTATATATATATTTGAGTCAATTTCTATATATATATACATATATTATGACACATATATATTTTATATATTCTTAGAAATGCCAGCCCATCCCTGCGTAGCCGTTCCATTTTAAATATTTATTTCTTCAGAGTATTCAATATTCACCCAGTCAAGCAAGGTCGTCATTATTTCTGGTTTTGGATTATGTGGTCTTCTTCTTGTTGCTTACTTATGTTGGTGTTGCCACAGAAATATATTGCCGCAAAGAGTAGAGGCATGTGAATACCTATAGAGGCGGAGGGGGGTTGACTTACCTTGCCATGTTGATGATACGCAGCTGCTCACTTTTCCGTGCCCTTCAGTAAGAAAATTCGTTAGCTAGAGTTGGAGGCGAGTCTTAATTTTTGGCCTTCGCAGTGGTTTTTCCCTTGCGCGTCCTTGAATCAGGCTCGAAATGACATTGAGTATCTGGTCGAGGGGTGCGTTGGCATGTTTACAATGCTCAGGTCTTGGCCGCAAACTAAATCAACATTTTTTGGCAGCACGAAGCAACGAACCAACAGTCAAGCGAGCGCTCAGAGTCTGAGATAATGCTGATGATGCTCTGATGATGATTACCGCAATGCCTTCAGAGCCAGTCACTGGGCCAGCATCGTTTATCTCTGTCCCTCTATCTCTCTGGCCCGGTCGCCTGCCACTATCTCAGTCGAAGACTTTTAATCCTGATTGTGAATGTGGATAGGCTGTGTGCTACCTTGTTGCGTGATTGAGTTTGGATTTATGCCTTAAGTGTTGCTTGGGGATTTGCCTTCCAGCAGCCCGTTGCCCGTAGCCCGTTGCACGGCCTATGCGGCGTATGCTCACACAGACACGCACATTTACTTATGCATAGGTGTAACTGTGTATGTCGAGAGCTATTTGTTTTGCTGTTGCCTTTTTGCAAGCGTTTTGATTGGAGATTTGAGATTTTACTCCAAATGATTCGAACGTTTTGCTCTGCAAAAAGAAAAGCAAAGAGAGGAAATAACAATACAGACAGAAACTTTATTTTAGTTGTTGTTGTGCGTGGGTGTTCTGTGTCTGTACGTATGTGTGCGTGGGTGTATTTTTCTGCTTTATTTGATTTGCTGCTTTACATTTACATTTGCATTTACATAAGCATCAACATCATTAATATTGCAAAAGCATATCAATATATAAGCACTTTGCTGCCGATGAGTATTCTGCATAAGTGTGCGTGTGTGTATGTGTGTATAGCCCTGCGGGAAACAAATTGTATTTAAAGATAAATAGCGAGAAGCATAAAATGCCTGATTTTTCAGCTGTTTGTCACGCTTAAAGTCAGCAACTAAACTATGCCAGCAGCTAAACGAAGAAATATAAATAGATTTAGCAAAGAAATTTTTAAAAATATATAAAATAAATAAATTATATAGTAAAAAGTAAATAAATATATAAAAGGGGTCAATTAAAAATAAAAAATAAATTTTGCCGAAAATTAAATAAAGGAAATAAATAAAAACTAACTTTAAAAAAATATTTCTCATTTCTAACTTTTTTTTAAATATAAAAATAAAAGTAAGAACTAACATTTAGATGCTCAAGAAAAGGTTTTACAAAAAAAATGCGTTTTTAAAATAATCACTGAAAAGTTCCCTTCCATAATCATGCAAGTAGCATGCAAATTCAGTCGAAATTGTAGAAACTTTTTTTAAATGCTAAAAATTTAAGTTGAATCACGTGTTTTACTAAAGCACGTGTCAAAGGCATGTAAATTTCATGCACTTTGTCATGCGTTTCATTTTTCAGAGGGTTTCGTTCCTTATTTTCTTTTTTGCTTTAAGCGCTTCCGTTATTTCATTTTCACAACAAATTTGATGCGGCTTACATTTATCATACGCCGCGTGTGCTGTCACTTTATACATGCACACACACAGATACACACACTCACGACGATTGAACCACATAAATCTCTCTTTGGGAATTGCCATTCAAATGGCAAATGGCAAATGCAATAATAATTCGCAGCTCAAACAACTCGGAGGCAGCCATAGCTGTGGGCGCTGTCAGTGTTATATATGTTGGCGGGGCGCTAGGCATCCGCCAAGTTCATTCATTTTGATTTGTTTTGTTGTTTTTAGTGTTGTTTGCATTGTCGAAGCGTTTATCATGCTCAGGTTCATGATTGATTATAATACGGGTATTGATTTAGCAAAGGTCTGAGTCGTCACGGCTGCTAGCCCCCAGCTAATCGAGGTTGACTGCAATTTGAGCAGCGTCTGCTAGGCGGGTTCAATTGTTAAGGGCGTCAAAACAATGCATGCAAAGCTCACCCAGCTCCAAGCTCCACAGCCAGGACAAACGTGGCAGGAGTCCAGGCCGAAATGTGAGGCAACATTTTTTTATAGCTTCCTGCTTGAAGGGTGTGTGTAAGTGGGTGTGTGAGTCTGTGTGTGTGTGCGTGTGTTATCAGCTGTTTGCTGCTCGTGTTGTGACTGAAGCGGAAATGTACAAACAGCAACAACAACAACAACAAATTACAATAAAAATAACAGCAAAGCAGGAAGAAAGCAACCCAAACGGAAGCGACGCCGCCGCCGTCGCTGTCAAGCAGCACTAACACACTAACCGATAAAAATAGAAAATACCAAAAAAAATAGGGAAACAAGTCTTAGCTAGCAACCAAAAAGAAAGCGAACTACTCGACGTATACGTAATATAACAGCCCCCGAAAACAATGGCGACGAAGTTGGCGCAAAATAAAAAATAAAACAAAACGAGGAAAAAGGGAACGGCAGACGCCCTTCCCCCTTGGCCAAACAAAAGCCCTTTGAGGCGCAGCTAGACAAATCAAACAAAACAACAAAAAAGGCAAATAGGCAGCTGGTATTGCATGCCAGTTGACAAAGTAGGGGTAGTCCCTGATAAGCTGGAAATCGTTCAAATATTTCAGCTGAGCACAAATTGATTTCAGAAATGTATTTGAAAGTTTAATTAAATTTAATAGAATATAAAACAATCAAAATATTTTTTTATATTGTTAATAGCTTTAAAGAAAATATTATCCGAAATTTTTAAAAATTAATAAAATGAAATGAACAAAATATTAAATTAATATTTGAAATTAATTAAGACAAGCTCAAAAATATTTTTAAAAAATATAATCGAAGCTGGAGAGTTGTAACTGTTATTTAAATATTTATTATATTGTATTAACTGAAATAGTTATTATTTTATTAATATATTTATATATATATAACAATAATAAGAAATATTTAAAACAAACTAAGCATTAAAACTGTGTTCCAATATATATATTTATGTATAATAATATATTTATAATAATACAAAATGCATTATAATAATAATAAAATATTCTAACTTCAATAATAATAATCATAATAATTATTATGAAACAACTAATAATAATATTAATAATAAAATACAAAAACAAATAACATCAGTACCAAAATCAATAACTATAAACCTAATAAACAATCATGCTCATAAATATTCATACGACAGGCATACCCCTAATGCTAAAACTCGTCTGTGTACATGTGCGAGCCCTTTGCGGCTTATTTGGGGCCATGTGGCGCTCCCTTTTTGCTGTCGAAAGCAGCTGCCATGGCAAACAACAAAACAGCGACTCTATCAAGCTCAAATACACAAACACACACACACACACACACACACACAGACGAACAACACAAACATTCACATTCGAGTGTAGCTCTGCCATCAGCGAAACAAAGCGCTCGCTTATTAGTATGCAAAACTGATAATCAATACTGAGTACTCGATGCTCTGCATGAGTACTCAATACTCAGCTCTAAAGTGTGGCTATTATGGCACATTTATGCTGGTCTTTGCACATTTGCATACGTGTTTTGGGACACTGTGCAGCGAACCTACCAACCTCCCAGCCCTGCCCAAGCTTATGGAAAAATGGAACTTTGTGTGCAGAGTCTCGAATTCACTTTTCTTTTTTACATTCGTTGGAAAATTTATGAAAAAATGGGTGTGTGCTAATATGTTGTTTTTGTTGTTGTTGTTTTTATTGCTGCTGCTTCTGCTTCTGTTGTTGTATTAGTCGTTTTTGCCTAGAGCACCTTCACGTGTCGAGGGCAAAGCCGTCCTGGGGCCAACATGACATCGCCTTAAATATCCTGTCAGTGCCAAGCAATGCTGTAGCAGTTGACAAAATAATATATACAAAGAGCGCAATTTAATTGAGTTGATCTCAACACATATTGTAAAGCCATAAGACATATAGAAACCATCATCACCATATTTTGCCGGAAATTTGTAAGCTGTTCAAGGCAATTTCAGAAAATTTCTTTAAGAAGTTTTATGTTCATCATATAAAAAGATCTACCCTTTAATTCATTATTTAATCTGAATTATTGTTGTGATAAAACAATATTTTGTAATAATTATTATTAGTTTATTTTATTTAATTTTTAAACCTGTCCAAACAAGAGAAATACTATTTCAAATATCTTTAGCTCCGTGGCTGTTTAAGTTATCAATAATATGCAGCTGTTTAAATATGCAATAAGACTTGCCATTTGATTATAAATTATCAAAATTTTAATAATAATAAAAAATATATCGTTTCAGTTGTTAATGTAAATATATAATATCTGAAACTGTGTAAATATTTTATTTATTTACTTTATTTCTAACTGCAGTTAAATAATACGTATACGCCAGGTTATTTTATTAATAAACTATTTAAAGCAATTTTTCAATTTGTTAAAGCAATGCAACTTTAATAAGCCTAGCCTAAAACAATATTTGCCTTTGGCATTTCTATAAACAGTAAAACAAATGTTGAATTAGAGTCTTAAGGCTTATGGAATACTTGTAGAATACATGGCATGAAAAGCATTTGCTAGCAAATATGAAATGAAAATAAAGTGCGAGCCGCTTAAGCCGCAAAGGCTTAACTAGATGACTGATAGACCACACACCCTGGAACACACACACACAGACAAATATATAATCGAAGAAGCGGAACATGATTTTATCGATTCGAGTCGGTAAGCCTTTACAGCTCAACAATCTGGCCAAGCTGCATGCCATTCATAAGAAAACATACACACCGACATAGCTAATGCTGGCTTATTGCACCTTGAGAGCATACAAACACACATACACACACGTATATGCGCGTGTGTCTGGCTGATGGCGAGTTACAGAAAACGTAGCATACTTATGTGCGCTCCCCTTGTACCATAAGACGCTTAATAATAGTAAGGCGCTACGTGCAAATGGTTACAACAAGTAATAGACATAGGCTCAGTATAGTTAACACACATATGCACACACACACTCATGCACAGCAAATGTGACAGCAAGTGGCCAGGGCCATGACTTGTAACTGAGTCGCTTTTCGAGCTGAAGTTGCGACTGTAAATTGGCCCATGTGTTATTGTTTTTACTGTGTGTGTGTGAGTGTGTTTGTGTGTGAGTATGTGTGTGTGTGCTAGTTGCCTATTAGTTGTGTTGTTGTTGCTGCTGATGTTTTTTTATAATTACTTGCAATGGAGGTTACGCCGTCTCTCTGTGTGAGTGAGTGTGTCTGTGTGTTATTGTTGTTGTTAGCTTTGTTGTTAAGCATATATAACGGTAATTTAATTAACATACATAAACACACACCGACACACACACGCTTACATGTGGTATGTGACACGCTTTGGGACATTGTTATACTTACAAAGCAATTGACGAGCTTAGCCCTTGTAATCGATATTTCAATTAAAGTTACTTTTTATATGCATACAAAATAACTCTGCTATTTTAAATAGAAATATATATATTATTTGTATATGATACCAATAGTGTAAGCTTAAATAGGGCTTCAATTGTTTTCATTTAATTTCATTTTTGGTTTAATCTTTGCACACACTAGACATTGAGAAACAATTTTTTGTTGGCTAAATTATTGAGTTTTTTTTTTTAGTTTTAGCTTTTTATTTATGTATAAATACACACACATATATTTATATACATATAGTTTTTTATACTCAATCAAAGTGCTTTTTATATAAATTTATTTTTCTATTTATTTTTATGTGCACATCTTTTTTTTTTAATAAAAATAATAAATATTTTAGTTTTGCAAGCAAAATATATTTTTTCCTATAGATTATTGAACTTTACGGTTTAGGCCCCGTATGAAATGAAATTTGTTTATTTTTTTTAAGTTTATATTTGACTTAAATATTCTTTTATTTTTATTTTGAATCCGTTTTTATTAACTTTATATACATATTTATTATTTATATTTTTGTATTTGTATTTGTATTTTGTTCAAAGCTTTTAGTTGTTTTATTTATTGTTCATTATTTTATTATAAATGTTTAATTATTGTTTTATAATGTTTATATATTCTTTTTTTTTCTTAATATAATTTTATTGAATTTTTGTGAGAAGTTTCTTTAATATTTTATTTGTTTTTAATACTTTTTTATTTATATATAGATTTCTTTTTTGATTGTTTTAATATAATATTTGAAGTTCTTGTTTTCTTACATATTTAATTATTGTATGTTATTTAAAATCATATTTATATAATAATTATATTTATTTTGTTCAACAAATTTCGCACCACTAAATATAATTCATAATTTTTAGACTATATTTTAAATTCTTTTTGATTATTTTTTGTATTAAGAATTAATCTATTTATTTTTGGGAATTATTTTAATTAATACACATAATTTTTATTTTTTTTTTATAAATATTTTTTACTATATTTTGTTGGCTACAAAAAAGTCGCGTTAATTGCCTAAAAGCGCGACGCATGCCGCCGCTAGTTGCACGTTGCGCGTTGCACGCAGTCGAGTTGCGAAAGTTGGAGCGACACACAACCGTTAGGCGACGCGTTCGGCGAGCGAATAACAAACAAAGCCCGCTAATGCTGCTGCCACTGCTACTACGAAATGCCGCAAACAGTGTTGCCGTGCTGCAAGCGACGCATGCGCAGTGCGCGATGAGCGATAGCCGCTGAAAACATCTGTGTTTTTGTTATGTTTGCCTTTAGAGGCGGTGGGCGTGGTGGGCACACACATGTGTAGCACACACATATGAATGCATATGTGTGTGTGTTGCGGCTGCCAAGACATTTCCCGGAAATGAAGCAAACAACAACAATTAAATTTGTGCTCAGTGTATGTGTGGAACAGTTATTTCAATTAAATTACATATACATATATATACATATATATATATATATATATATATATATATATATATAGATTCGTTTACAATTTTTTGCTGTTGTCTTGTGAGTTGTCAAATAATTCGAGCGGCAATGACAACAGGACGAGCCATGTCCTGTCAGGACATGTTTTGCGACATATTTTTGCTGCGAATGAATTAAAATGACAAAGTGACACAAAAGTATGTTTGCTGTGCGCCGGATATGCAGCACAGGCAATGACTTAAGAGCCGTCAAACACACACACAGACACTCACACACACACACTGATGCAATTTTGCGCCTAATGTCAAGGCTTTTTGGCTAACGTTCAATATTGCGCTGGCACGTGGCGCTGCCTTTGCAGCATGTGGCAAAGCTGTACAAGCAGCCCACCAATCACGCCGCTCTCTGCCACATGCAGCGCATGAATGGACACAAAAAGCGGCAATGCAAAAAAGGCAAAAAAAGCGCCGTGAACAGGGCCAGAAGAAAAAAGGTCGCGACGTTGCCTGCGCCGCTTTTCCAATGTCAAGTGCAAGCGGCCAATTGGTGTCGCTGACATGACAAAACAAAGAACCGAAAAGAAATGTATGGAAAAAAGCCTGAACGGCTGGCGAGATGCTCTGTTCAGTTGCATAGTCTAGCTGCCTCGAAAAGTGTAAACACAGTGGCTTAAAAACTGATTTATAATTTGGTATAGCTACGCGACTGCGGCAACTTCTGTTTGACAGCTCTAAAGTCTAGGCTGTGAGCTTCAAACTGTACTTTAGGTAAATATCGACTAATGATTCTTGTAGCTGAACAGTGGCTCTAAAACTTTAAGCCTTATGCAGTGATTAGCAAACTGTCATTTTAAAAAATTTCTTCGAGTTCTGCTCTTATCTACTTCTTCTCTCTGCATTTATACTCTGTTCTGTAGCTCTAAGCACTTGTCAATGCATGTATGATCGCTTATAGCCATACTCTATAACATTATAAATAAATGTTTATATCTCAAAAGAAAGACAAGTTAATATACCCCATTTAGTCATGGGGAACAGGATATAGTAAGTTGAGGCAAGGTCAGCCACAAAAGGTAAAAGAGTCAGCAACTGGCTTGCATTAAATACAGCATTGCATATACCCCACTTGGCCAATGTGAACAGTGTATAGAAGGTAAAGTCAAGGCCAGTCTCAACAAGAAGAAATGCCAGAAGCAATGAGAACAGCGTATAGAAAACGCGCTACGACGAATGTCAGGGGCAGAGGCTGGCTACCACTTAAGATTAACATACCCCATTTAGTCACAGAGAACAGTGTATACTAAGCAAAGTCAAGGCCAGTCGCAGAAGGTAGCAAGACACATTGAATATACCCCACTCGCCCAATGTGAACAGTGTATGGAAAGTGAGCGATAGACAAGGCCAGGAGGCAGAGGCTGGCTTCCACTTAACATGCAACATTGGCAACGTTTGCCATTAAGGACAAAACGCTGCAGCAAGTGACCCCCAACGAAATGGACGCCAGCAGGCTCTCACGGAAATGGGCGCATCCATATTTTATGTGTCATCGATTGCATGTGCTCATATAAGTCGTAATAAGCCCTCCATCAACTCTTTTAGCCAACTTTCTGAAAATCAATTTTTGCCTGCAATTTGTGCTAATTTGTTGAGTATGTCCTTTGACTGTCCGCCAGTCCACAATGTCAGCAAGGATTCATGTATACATGTCATATCAAATGCTAATTGGGCTTTCGATTGCCATTTACATTTACCTTCAATTGTCCAATCATAACGACAGACTTTACAGTCATTAAGTTATTTTTAAAACAGATTATTTAAGTTCATGTCAGACATGAACGAAGGCATGACTAATTTACAGTTGTTTCATGCTGGTTTCTTTTTAGTACTTACGCAAGACTCATGCGTGACGCATTTTCCAATTAAAGTCCATAGATTATAGCGACACTCTCTAATGCTATAACTTTCAAATGATATGATAGCTAGAAACGGAATATACTAGAGGTATCTAGTAAATGGAAATATTTGAGCATGTTTTTCTATCTTCCTTGTATGTTTAACATGAACTTTGACAAGCATCAACTGCCAATATATGGTAAAAATTTACTGAAAAACTGTACAATCTATATAAAAAATTTATTTATAGACTTGACCAAATTTACAATTTACTTTATCTGCATTGTAAATAACTGCAAGGGATATTTAGGAACACAGCAGGAGTTTATTGAAGATTCTATCTATAATTAAGTTTTATAAGCAAAGCATACACACTCATAATCATGGTAAGCTTTACATGAACTTTAGCATGTGAAACTGCGCTGCATTTCTTAATCAAATATAGAATTTGACTGATAAAATTTGCAATGTTCATTGTACATAGACTTCAACATCAATTGCAGATGAAAGCATAGCAATACTTACAGAGCACTTTATAAGCATTGTAAATATTGAAAGAGCATTTAAAAACAATCCAAAGCATTTGAGAGCAAAGTCTGACTGGCTAAATTTACAATAAACCTTTTGTGCATTGTAAATATTTGCAAGGCAAAGCAAATAGACTTAACAATCTTTACCCTTCTAATACCTTATGTTCAGGACTTAAGAATAAGAGTTAAAATAAAGCTAACAGAAAATAAATATAATAAATAAATAAGTATATAATGCAAATCTAGATCAAAGTAAGTTAATTCATTCAAATACAAGAGTATTTTTAGTTTTTCAATATAATATTTATTCATTGTGTACTATTCCTTTAAGCTTAGAACATAGGTTTCTGTATTAACAAAATGAGTCGTGTTTGTTGCGTTTAATATGCCACGAAGCAATTTGCTTTGAGTAGAGTCTGATTAAATCCAAAGAAAACACTCCAAGAGTTAAAACTTAAGACTAACTTAAGAGTATGGGTTATGGTATATTCAAATGAATGGCTTTCAGTTTTGTTGGTTGACCATTTTAAAAGATATATCTTAAGGAACGAACATAGATGCGATTTAATTAGCTAGAAAGATTTGGGACTTTGCCAATGAGTCAAACTGAAACTCAATACTTAATTTAGGGAGTGGGTCACATTGCATAAATAAGTTATAAATAGACTTAAGAACTAATGTAAACTAAGATTAAAGAATACATATAAACAAAAGACACGACTCGATTACCACGTCTTGGGTAAACTGAATAATCCACAACGATCGTGAGCATCGACGCCTCGTACGGCAAAGAAGTAGCGCTGATTCTCCTGGAATTGATTCAGCGTAACTGCCATGGGTAAGAGCATGGCCTTCACATCGCCCACGTGCCGCCAGGAATCGGTGCTGGGCTCGTTACTCGTCTCCTGGTAAGCGTATATCTGATACGTGACGCACTCGGCGAACAGATTGCCCTTGCCCTCCAGTGTCCAAGAGATGACAATGCCCGTGTCGTGCAAACTGATGCGTATTACGGGCCGTGACGGCGGCAGCTTCCAGTCCGGATGAAAGGTTTGCTCCGGCGCCAGCGGCAGCGGTGCAGGATGCGAGAAACGTGAACGCGATCCACTCGGCGGCGTATTCTCCGACCGTATCTGCATGGGTACATTCGAGCCACTCGAACCTCGCTGAACTGTTAATATGAGACGAGCTTAATTGAATGCACCACAAAGTCTTAACTATGATTCACACGCGCTCTCTATCAGGCAAATGCAGCACAATTCCTATAGAGAATTTGTTTTAGGTTTTACAAACTACTTTTCATCTAACTTTTTTCTTGTTTTCCTTAGATAAGGTATCTTAGGAGTATTTTGCTTCTCATCAGAAATATCAGAATCCTTAAAGGATTGCAACATTTTACCTGTTCCCGGCGAGTGTGAATCGAAGTGAACTCCACATTTATATAAATTACCTGGTCCATTGACAATCTGTCGGGCCACAGCATTGGCACGCGGTATATTCATGGGCGAGACGCGCACGACGCTGGGTCGTGCATTGGAGCCCATTGGCGGCGTCTGCATGTTACGTTTGACGGAAACATTTGGCGTTTGTCGCAGCCGCGAATTGGCGTTGGGCTCCATGGCAGCAGCAACAGCGGCAGCCGCAGCATCATCCTCATCTGTGAGATCGATGACGGCCTTCTCTTTGGGTCTTGCAGGCGCCAGGCTGGGCTGGCCATAGCCAGCACCACTCGATCCACTATCCGCGGCATTTGACATGGGTACCGAAACAGTGGGCATGGAGCGTGCCTTGCTGTTGATGTTTATGGATTGCTTGCCGGGACTGCGACCAATGCGAACGCTAAAGAGAAGAAATGGCATTAGTTGTTGCTGACAAGTAGGAAAGGTCGCGGTGTAACTCACGGCAATGGTTGTTGCTGCTGTTGTTGTTGCTGTTGCTGTTGTTGTTGTTGTTGTTGTTGCTGTTGTTTCTGTGTCATGTAGGAGCCCGCGTAATCCTTGGTAATAGGCTTAGCAGTAGTGCCACGAGCTCGCATAGCTGCGGCAACAGCTGCTGCCGTTGCAGGTGTCACGCTGCCTGTGTGCTTGGACGCGTACATGGGTCGTGATGTGACATTGGGCGTGTTGGGCAGACGCTGCATACCCTGGCCAGAGGAGCTCGCCTGATGACTGCTGGGCGTGTTGTTGACAGGCCGCTGAGGTGTCACCTTCTGCATGCAGCCACGACGCACAGGCGGCGTGCCACTGCCGCTCGTCTGTACGTAGGGTCGCGTTCCTATTGACGGTGGTGTCTGCTGCTGCTGGTGCTGTTGGAGTTGCTGCTGTTGCTGTTGATGTTGCAGTTGATGCTGTTGCAGCTGTTGATGCTGGGGTGGACTGACTCGAGGTGCTGGCAGCGAACGCATTGACGAACGCATTGGCGAGGTGCTCGCCTTTGGCGGCGTTGGCATTGCGGCAGCTGGCGCTGACATACTGCCCGCAGTATGACTGCCAGAGGCGTGATTGCGTGCTGCCTCCTCGCTGGGCTTCTTCATTAGGGCCATGCCCACTTGAAGGCCCACAGCACGCGTTATGCGCACCGGCGCCGTAAACTGCGCATTCTTCGTTTCCAGATCCTTAAGCACACGCTTATGCACCGTTTCCAAGTCGAGAAACTGCTTGGATACCTCGGCTATCTTGCGACGGTAGTTAGCCAGCGTATTCTCGTGATTGTCGATCTGGCGTCGTATCTCCGCAAATTCGCTCTTTACCAGCATGCTCTCGACGATCTTCTGCAGCACCAGCTCTTCCAGATCCTGACGCGTCATCTTGTCGAAACTCTTGCGAAAACTCTTTAGAAAGTCCAGACGCAACGGCTTGATATCGCTTTTGAGCTCCGGCTTGGGCTTTAGGTCGTACTTGAGTTCCTTTGACTCTGCCTTCTCGTCGCGCTTGAACTTAGCTGCCTCAGCAGCAGCCGCTGACCCTTCCGACTCTAGGGTATTGTCATGAGCATCGAGATCGATTTGTAATGTGCCATCGTTTGAGCTATTCGAATCGGAATCATCCGTTTTCAATTTCTTGCTGGGTATATCCTCTTTCTCTACGGAGCTACTACTGGTCAGTAGGCTGTGATTGCGTTTGGCAACTACGGGAGATGGTTCCTCCTTGTTGGTAATGGTGGTGGTTGCTGTGGTAGTAGTGGTAGAGGAGCAGGTGGTGGCTGTGGCTGTGGAGTTATTGCCGCTTTGGGTGCTGTTGCTAGTCTCCGCTTTATCATCGGTGCTCAGTCGCAGACGTTTGACAGCAGGCAGGCCTGCATCCGACTCATCCTCTGGCTCATCGGCCACCATTTCCACGTCCCCTTCATCTGCCTCCGCCGCGGGCTCGGCTTCAGTTTCAGCTGGAGCCTCATCTCTGCTCTTTTGTGAGGGCTGCAGCAAATTACTCGAATTGCTATCCACGTCTTCACCGGAGTTAACTTTCGGTTTCTCTTGTGTTTTCTGTTTTTCAAACTGATCGCAGGCATTGTCTGAGTTGTCAGCTAGCAAATTTCTGAGCAAGACTCCATTCGATTTCGAATCGTTTGCTTTAGTCGGAGCTGTTTTTTCTTTGCTTTGATTGGATTCCTCCGCTGTTTTTTTTGCAGGCGGTTGCTCGTCTTCATCCTCGGACAACAGTACCACCTCTTCAACCTTTTTATCAGCCGCTGGCATATCTTTGTCACTTTCCGTTTTACTCTCAGCTGCTCCGCTTTCTTCCGCTGGCTTTTCAATGGGCTCGAAAAAGATGACCTCATCATCTGATTCTGCTTCCTTTGTCTCAGCTACGATGTTCTCTGAAGCTTTGCTCGTCGCCTGCTCTTTCAACTGTTCGACTTGTTTTTCTGTCTCATCGTCCAAGACGCCATTTGGCTTGGGCTTGGTTGGCTCTACAACGTTGTTATTAGATGGCACGGTACCTTCGTTGTCCGACTCTCGATCGGTCTTGGTCTTCTCTTCACACACTTCGTCAGTTTCCACTGACCTCTTTTTTAACGTTTTGTCATTCAGCTCCTGCTTTTCATCTTCAGTTTTATCAATCTCCATAGCTGACTCTGCTATTTCTGCATCTTCTTGAACAGGCTTTTCGATTGTTGTATCTGTTGCCAAACACTCATCAGACGAGTCTAGATCAATAATTGATGATTCTGCTTTGTTCTTATCATCGACACCATCCTCTTTTTCATCTTTATAATAGCTTTCATCTGAGGTTATGTCTTCTAGATCGTGTTGGCTTTCCTCTTTGCGACTTGGCTCTTCAGTTTCATCAATCGTCTGATCGGCCAGTGTTTCAAACTCATCTGCACTAGAGATGCTTTCCAAAGCATCCAAAAAGATGTCATCATTCGAATTTGTTTGCCCTGATTCCGCCTGCGACTTTTTTCGTTTTGAGATTTTCGAATCCTTCTTAGCATTTTCTTCTGTTTGATCATCTAACATATTTTCATCAGTCGGCACATCCTCGTTCGCTGCTGTGCCGGTCTCACTTTCATTGATATTTTGTTTATTTTCAGTTTCCTCTAAGGTCTTTCCTGGGTTCTCTTCAGGTTTCTCTTCGACTTCAGCTAGATCTGAACTTTTAAGCTCGTCCACGCTGTTATCGTCCAGTTCTTCCTTTTTCTTTGCTTCGGCGCCGATCACATTTGCCTCTGCTTCATCGATCGCAGTGTTGTCTTCTGCAGTGTTATCGATATCGGCTGCAATCGGTTTGCTGTTAACCTCCATTGTCACATCCTCCTCATCGATGGAGTCCTTGCGATCGCAACCTACGATCGAACTAATTTTATCTAACAGGGCATCCAGATCGGTGCCGGCATTGCGTTCGCTCGGCAACGTTTTGCTGGCAGAGTGATCATCGCTCTGGCCGATACTATCGATAGGCGACGTCGCCTTAATATCGTTGTCTAGGACGTCTGTCAGACCATTATGTAACTCCTCATTGATGGTGGATTTGCGGCGTTCCATCGTTGTTTTCATATCTGAAAAACCCCATTTATTTTCGAGCTAAACTTATCGATAAGAAGCTTCGCACATACCAGGGCTGGTGAGCTTATCAACTTTATGGTCCAGCTCGGTGATACTTCTGATTAAATCATCCTCTGTCGACAGCTCCCGTAACTCAACGTTCTGTGTTACTTCCATCATATTCGCGCGTTTTAAAGTTTGCTTTCAATTGGAACACATTGAACTGAGATGAAACGAAAAATGAAAAGTTGTTGTTAATTACTGAGGTTTCTTAGACGATCTGGCAGCACGCTAAACAACAAGGTGGCAACCCTAGGGAAACATAATATGTGACCTAGACCCTTAAAGCTAATCAATAAGAAAACAACTTATGGAAATTAATGAAACGACTCCCTCTTTAAAAGTAAATGCAGGCAATAAGAAAGCTTAGGGCAAAAAGCTCGCCAAAAGCTTTTCGTTGTAGTTTTTGCTAGCAATGAAAGTGAATTGAAGCTACCATTTTCAACTAACTAAACCTAAACCTGGTTTCTATTTTGAGAACCTACTTGAAAGTTTGGGTGAACCAATAATAACGGATTCTTAGAGGAAATAATTGAACTTTACTAGAGAGGATTAGCTGTACTTGAACAAAGCCTTTAACGAAGTATTTCTAAATTTTATATATCTATGTATATATCTATGTATATATATATATATATATATATATATATATTTATGTACACATTATATATCAACTGATTTTTGTCTGATGCTATATACGCTATTTCGGTTTCGGTATGTATCTATAAATCTGCATACCTAACCGGTGTGCTTGTTGTTCGGTCGAACGGTCATTCGGACGGTCTGTCGGTAGTTCGTTCGGTCTCACATATGTTGACGACGCGAACAGCAACAATAATTCGAGAGAGTGAGAGAGAGCGGGAGAGACCTCAGCGCAGAGATGACTGCAATCGAAACACAAATACAAAGCGAACAGCGGCAAAATGTAGACGAAGAAGAAGAGAAATAAGCATGCATAAAGCAGAAACATGTGATAAATGTTTGGAGCTAGCGTAGAAACGAAACAGAATGAAATGAGCAGAAAAAAGCCGTTGTTAGGACTGAGTTCGGAATCAGGATTTTCGATAAACAAAAATTAGAGTTAAGTTAGCAAAAGTGAGGTTAAGTTGAGGCGAGTTTGCAACTATTTTATATAATCTACTTACACGATGCACAAACTATAAAAGATTGATTGAACGCTTTCCGTTCGCAACAATTTTACACTAGACTCGAAAGAAATCAAATTATTTGTAACTAGATTTCTGTGCGAGTTCAAGGCAACACTAAAACAGTGGCCGAAGTGAACGCGAACGCGAGCGCAAAAAACCAGCTGACGGCAACGACAACGACGACGACATTTAAAATATGAGAGAGCAATACCAAACGAGAGAGAGAGAGAGAGAGAGAGAGTAAAGCTAAGAGTGGGCATGGTTAGGGGGCAGCGACCTTACTGCTTGTTTAGGGCGTGTCAAATTCGATTCTGATAACGTTCTATAATCATTTTTCCAAAACTTTTCATTTTCCGATTGTCTTCTTCTGTGTGTCACATCTTCGATATGTCCACGGTGCGTGCGACCCCTAGCTCTGAATGCGCTGTGACGTCAGCAATGCCAGCAACTATTATATATATATATTAATATATATATGTTTATATGTAAATCAAATATAGAGGGAACGCAAATTGATATTGGATACCACTAAAATAGGTCAACTATTTAGTTGAGTTTAATAAGACTTTTCGTAACAAGTTGGCAGCGCTGTTAGCTGAAGGTAGTTTTAATATCTTGGTAGAGCGGGACAAGGGGTTGAAGTAACACAGCTATTGCAAGAGGGATCTTCGATTATGACATTATAGTTTTTCCGCCAAACACCGATAACAAAATGAATGAAAGAACAGCAATGACAAGACGCAAAACAAAAGTAAAAATTAAAGTTGCCATAAATTGGCATTTTACAAAAACAACCTTTGACGCGTGTTGTGCGAGCGAGATGGCTAATGCGAGTTAACTGTGCGTGTGAGCGGTACAACTCTATGCTTAACAATGTATCTGCGTAGTTAGAAATAGGGAGGGGGGAGGTATGGTGGGGTGGGGGTCCACAGGGAACGGGTCAGAAGGTGAGGGGGCGAGGTCAAGAGGATAAATCAAACTATTATTTTGAAAAGAAAAATGACAACAAATTGAAAATAAAAACGTGTTAATGCCATGCAAATGCATACAGAGAGAGAAAGATAAAGAGAGGAGGGGAGAGGAAACCAGAGATAGAGAGCGAGAGCGGGTGGTAGGCGGCATTAATATGGCACATTTTTGCATCTAGTCTAAGATCCGCAGTTTTTTAGGACTTTAGAATGTGCCTAGGACTTTCGGCAGGATACCGGTTTGTAAACAGGTCTTAGTCGCTCAAGAGAGGGGAAGAGGGAGCGTTAGCGTTTGCAGCAAGAGAGCAAGATAGAGAGAGAGAGAGAGAGAGAGAAGGGGCAGCGTAATTTAACGTTTATACGAGATAAAAATATATACATATATATATAATATGTAAGTAATCTATATGTAAGTAATCTATAAGAAAAATAAAAGTTTTGCGCCGAGCCGAACGACAAAGTCGTACGACGAGGCGTACCGATTAAAAGACACCGCAGCAGCACAGTGAGAAACAAAAACTAAAACAGAAGCAAAAAAAATTGTTTTTTTTTTGAGGCGTCGGCAGCCATATTTGACATCTAAAAGTATTCGGGAGAAACTGGTCTTGGTCTGGGTATGGAAGATATAGAAATCGGTACAATTTCGACTACGATTATGTTCTGGATATGTCCATGTGACAAATTCTACTCTTCGTTTCGCTTTATCTGCTTATTTATAGAAAAAAAGAGTAAAAATCAAATTTTTTTCTATTTTGCTAACTGATAAATATGTTCTGCATAGGCAACTTTTGGTGCATTAAAATATGTTTATACATATATATAAAAGCATTAAAATGATGTTTGAACTTGATTTGGGAGTTATGTCTATTATAGCTATTTCGCTCTCGCACACGCACCCAACTATACCTGCGTTTGCTTAACTAGCTGTCTGGGTGTATGTGTGTGCGCTTGTGTATGTATAACAAGGTTTGTATATATATATGTGTGTGTGTGTATATATATAATTTTGCAGCGCATTCACATTCTTTTTAGGTTACGTATCGATTTTAATGTAAAGTGAGGTTAGTTTGAAAAACATCCAAACCCCGGGGTATATTACAGATCTATGCAGGGCAACTATATACTATATATTATAACATAAATATCTATTGATCCCAGACAGCGGTGTTTAGCAGTTCGGTTAGTTGCAGACGGGGCAACAATTTAATTTTTTTTTATTATACAATTTAATATTTTTAGGGCTGCCAAGTGTTAGCAAAGCATAATGTTAGTATATATATTATTTTGTTTGCGTATATAAAAGTGGGCGTTAATGCATGATTATGCACCTAATTATCATACACATGGTATATAATAGGGTTGCCACCAACATCAAACCTCCTATGTATGTATTATCTTGTGCTGTCTACGCTTAAGGTGAAAGGACAAACATATATATGCTAGTCGTAAATCTCATTTAATGTTTAAATTTGAAATTCGAGCAGATAAACTAAAATATTATTATTTTTACCGGCTGCAGTGCAGCCACTTGGCAACCCTAAAAACTCAAGCAAATGCTTAAAGTCTCTCTTCTTATGTCCGAAACTTAACACTAAGCCCAATTGAAAACCCGCTAAAACTATATTAGATATATTCAATATGTTATCGTAAAAGCTTATAAGCAATAATAGCAACAAAACGTGAGGTAGTGAACTACCAAACAAAATAAATTGCTTTTTAGAGATTTACCTCTGTGGATATTTCGGTATTTTCTTATTTCTGTTAACTTAAGCTTTCTTATTTAACGTTTTGAGCATTCCGTGTCCATTAGACAGTTATATATTTTAATAGTTTAAACGGTATTTTGTCGATTTGTTTACGCCGTACCGTGCACTGCCACCCTGAACAACTGGAATACCAAACACAGACTAAAATCTGAGATGACAACAACAATTGTATAGAACCACAAATCAGTTGGAATGTGTCTGGTTCATGAACCGTTTAACTAGATCAAACGCACTGCAGTAAATGAGCTGCCACAAAAATTTAATGAAAAACATAAGACATCGGCGATAAGCAAGAAATCATTTTAAATAGAAACAAATAGTTATTTCATGAGAGCTAATTATCAGTTTCGTATAAAAAAATCTATTATTGACGGATGTCTACTCAGAAATTGCAATTGATACAAAAAAATAATTGAAAACTAGCAAATTGTCTTAAAATATTTTCGCAAGTTATTGAAGGTGCCAAGCAATAGCTACTTACAAAATATTATGAAGTAATTTACCATTAGCAATATTGTTAAATTAATATTCCCAGGTCTAGTTCACAGTACCACAGCTTTCGGTCGCTGCACTTATCAGCCCTGGTCATGGTGCATAAAAAACCAGTTCGCGCGCGAGCGAGCGACAAAAAAAAACAAAACAAAAACATCTGTGTGGCTTATAGGTTAGTTTTGTTTTATAATATATGCAGTAAACAAAGTTATCAGTTAAAATGAGCAATTTGATCAATTTTGCGTTAAGGCATGGCGTCAATTTCCTGAAAAGACACGCACTGTACAGCCTACGCTGTACGGTGCCTGCAATAGCTAATAAACTGCCGGCTGCAATTGCGCCCATTCGTAGCCAATCGACAAGAGCTGCCTATGATGTGAGCACAAATGTGCAAAAGGATATTGTATTGTTTAAATATGAGAATCCTAAGTTCTATAAAATGCTCAACTTCTTTGGAGTGTGCCAATTTGTATTTTGGACCTATTTGTCGCATTTCGCTTTTACGACGCTGAAAGATGCGCCCGTTGTGGAAAAACCTGGCGAAGAGCTGAAATGGTTTCAACGCATAAATCTGGGCGAGAACAAGTATAAAAATGGCATTACAATATGCTGCTTTTTGATTGGTGAGTGGAATTAGTTGAGAAGTAAAGGTTTCACATTATTGAAGGTTTTCTTCTTTAGGCTATGGCATTTTGTTTGCTGTTTGGATGTTTACACTGCGCTCGGTGCGGTTTCTCATTCTTCGCAAGGGCGGGGATAGCGTTTCCATTGTCACCTATGGTCCATTTAATCGCAACCGCATAATGACCGTGCCACTCAAGTGCATCTCAGCGCAGGAATCGCGAGAAATGGCTCGCGTACAGCTGCCCATTAAGGTGAAGAACAAGTCGTTATTCTACGTGTTAGATATGCGCGGCGAGTTTCGTAATCCCCAATTGTTCGATTATACTGCAGGATTAAAGCGTCGCATTTGAAATGTTTTGTTTGTTTTCTTTACTTATAATTTGTAAATATACATATGTAAGCTAATTTAAACCTAAGCCCTGGATTAATAGACGGGCTCTGGCTTCTGTGTGAGCAGCAATCCAAAACGTTTCTTGATGGTAATGCGCTGTCTAGAGTATTTGTCTTCAGGTGAAAAACGAGCTGGATGTGCGGACAAGGTGGGTCGGCCGTCCTCCGTACGTTTCTGCAAGAAATATCAACGTTAGTTAAATTTTTTATTTACAAGAGCATAAACTACCTTAAGCGTATAAATACGATCTCCGTTTTCACTAATTGTGTACATAAGATACATTTTAAATATAATTTAAGAAATGTGCGTTCTCTCCACAAACAAATATAAACACGTGTGACGTGCAGTGATGCGCAACGATAAGTGTCAGTGACTAAACATACGTATCGATATCGAAGGAAAATTTGAGCACTGTTAAGAGCGAATGTTGCGAATTGATGCGATATAGTGCTGTAACACTAATATCGATATTTAAAATAACATCACCATTGCTGTTACTCAGCACTGTTTTTATTTGTAGCTGGCGCTAGATTTTGTTACAATTTTAAATAAAATACCAATCATGTCCAATAAAGCCGATAAACTAATGAAACAGGCTATGCGTGAGCAACAGAAACGCATTAGACCCGGTGAATGTCAGAAATATGTGCGTTTAGTACTGGATCAAGGACTGCTGCTCATTCCTTGGGGTCAGGAACTGCTTGAAAAATTAAATAATACAGACTTAAAGTATGAGATAAGAAGCTTACCCGCACGTAACTGCATTTTTTGGGAGCGAAATGTCGGCCAACAGACTCTGGTAGCGGGTGTCGAATTGGAAGATGCTTGGCATATGGAGCAACAGGTTCTTTTGGTCTATGCTGAAGCGGACTTTCAACGCGCACTCAAGGATCACAACTTGGGCTGCATTAAAGCCAAGTTGCAAGATGCATTTCCAGCACTAAACTGCCAATTCACAGTGGTTGTTCCCCGACTACGTCAGAGCAAACACAGCCACGAGACTAATGCTTTAATTGAGCTGCAACTGCTGCAGCAATTGCATGTGGAGCAACTGGCTCAGCCGCAATGTCAGGAATTTATATTACTGCTGCAGCGCTACACCAAAGCAATAGCTGAGTTGCCATACAAGCAACAAAGACAATCAATTCTAGGCAGCTTTAAGAAATACCTGGCGAACGATAATAAACAATGCGTGCGCGTGGAGCAGGGCAACGGCTATGGACGTCTATGGCAGCAGCATCTTAATCGCTTGCCGCTGGTCACACTTGAGGTGGCAGAGTCCATCATATCTCAATATCCGTGTCCCAAGCGCATGCTGCAGCAGTTTGCGGACGATCCACAGGCGGTACAAACGCTGGCAGACGTCAAGATAAAGCGGAGCAACGGACCACAGCCGCTGCAGTCGGAGAGAAGGATTGGCAATGTGCTCAGCAATAAGTTGTATACTCTATATACTGCCAGAGATCCGAATACTTTGATATAGGAATTAGAGCTTGCATAAAAACTAGTCTAGGGACATATTGCATATACATGTATCTAGGTATCTAGAATAGGGACGTTGATTTAGTTATATAGAATTTAGGCCGTTTATTCAGCTGCTCATTATTTTGGTTTTTACAATCGATCGCTTAGGTGCTTAAATAATAATTAATATATACAGTTCGCTATTTCATATATTTATATATATATATTAAAAATCACAATATTTTTATACGCATTCTTCTCTTACAAATGTACATCATAATTGTTTAATTAGTTTAGTTCTAGTTTGTAGTATATGTAATCGTGAACAATTTGTTGATAGATATATACTTCGATTTGGCGCGTAGAAAATACTATTTTAAAATTACGACTTTACGAATTTGATTTATATAAAATAACAATATTGAATTAAAGGAAAAAATTATTTTTTTTTGTTTTCTAACCGGACTATGAAGTTTGAATGCGAACTAGAAATAGATATTAAATATATATGTAAATAATTATTAACATTAAGAGCTAAATACACATAAATAAAAAACGAAAACAGAATTTGAGGATGGGCAGGATTTGCGTTGCCATATGTTAGATAGTCAGTCCGTTCGCAACTCTGTCTAGAGCGTGGCCAGGATGCGAAAGAAGCCCAGACAGGCCGAGAATATGGTCTGTCCGACGCCCCAGAAGAGCGCATAGATCGGTGACATGGGCAAACTGGAAGCGCAATGGACGAACGCAATTACGGCGCTGCTGATGATGCCGCTGCTAGCGGGCGATACAAAGCCCATCACCAGGATCAGTATGGAAAAGAAGCGGCCAAATTTGTGGCGACGCAGCGTCACAAAGGCAACCAGGGCGGCGCAGGTGTGTATAAATATAGATGAGAAGAGTGCCCACAGAAAGACATGATACCACATCTCACGGAACGTGTTGAGCCTGGCCTGTGATCGTAATCCAACCACATCGACTATCGCATCCAGCTCATCCGTATCGTAGGGTTCGGAGTACATGACCAATAGTATCGGCAAGCAGTACGTATATATGTATCGATAATGACGTATTCGTAGAATTTTGGCTACAATTGTTGGAAGTATCCTGTGATTGAGTTGATGTTTTTGTAGTTATTGTTGTTATTATTTGTTTTGTTGCTAATTATTGCTTTTCCGTTGCAGCGACTCCTCGTTTTGGTCATTTGTAAGTTGTTGTCGTTGACTGTTTAATATGCAGCTGCTGTAAACTATAGGTAAAGCACAGCACATTGTTCCTAATTGTATTGAACATTATCAATAAACCTGCAATTGCAAATATTGTAAGAAAAAAATACGTTTTAGTTTAATCGACCTTTTGGCCTATCGCATTGCAACTCTCACATACATACACACACATATATGCATAGAAGCATATATGCCAGTAGTTAATTTGATCCTGTAACCCGTTCCCGTTCCAGCCAGTGCTCTTAAGTCTAATATGTTGTTTTGCCCTTGTGCGATGAATAAATATTTTGCTTTGTTTTCGGTTTTGGGATAGGCAAAACTGGAATCGATTAAGAAGGCCACACCAAAAAATCGCACTTGCAGCGGCAGTGTTTCACCAACTCCTAGCTAAGCATTTTGTGTTTAGCTTTTAAATGCACAGCGTGTTAGTTAGTGATTTGTATTTGCATTGCACAATTGATATACGCTTGATAGATTACTAAAATGTTATGATTAATATTTTTATTTTTCTTGTTTTACTTAATGCGTTCTGTTTTACATAGCAACGTAGCTGGAACGCTTTGGTAAATGAACCACCTAGATAAACCAGCTGTTTAATAAAAAATATCGAAACGCACTTATCGCACAATTAGCTCAGCTGTTGCTTTAATCGATTGCTGAAAATCGGTTTTAGTGCATCTCTAGTTGATATGTCCGCGGGCAGCTGATTTTTGCGTTTCATGCGTGTATTTGATTCGTGTGCGTCTCCATACCAGCCGGAAAATTCTTCAAAACATTGTGTCATTGTATGTAACTAGACTAGTGTTTTAGTATTAGTAAACTAATTAAAAGTAGTGAAAACTTAATATGAATAAGGAACAAGACTATGCCTCAGACAGCGATGAAAGCGACGAGGATTTTTGCCTAGAAAATGAACATGACGCCGAGTCCGGCGAAGAGGAGGAGGAAGAGGACAGCGAAAGCGAGTCGGATAACGAAGACGACGCCGAAGCAGACAAAAAGCCAGGCAAAGCAGCAAAAGGCAAAAGGAAAGACAAAGTGAAGAAAAAGTTAATAGATACAGCAAATGCCGATGCAGGCGTCACACGCAGCACACGTCAAACCGAACCTAAAGAAAATAGACGCAAAGCTGCGGAAAAGGACGAATTGGAATCCGATGAGGAAGTCGACAAATCGCGTTCCGATGCGCTCTGGGCTGACTTTCTGGGTGATGTTGGTGCCAGTAGTGAACCCGCCGCAAAGCCGAAAGAGAATCCATCGCCCGCTAAGCGGACGCAGAGCCCGCCGAGCAAACCCAACAAGCAAGCAACGGAGATTCTTGATTTCGCCGGCGAACAAGTGATTGTGTCTAAAAGCAATACTAGTTCCAGTTCCAGCTCAAGTGCCAAGGAGAACCAAGAACAGCCGGCAGCTCCAATCACTAAATCGCCAGCGCCACGCGGCTTTGCTGCCGGCAAGCGACCAGCCGCCAATGGAGGTGGAGCTGGTGGCTTAGGCTCACTGCTCAATCAGCTGGGTAAAAAGAAGAAAATGTCCGTGTTGGAAAAGTCGCAGCTAGATTGGAAATCCTTCAAGAGCGATGAAGGCATTGACGAGGAGCTGCAAACACACAACAAGGGCAAGGATGGGTGAGTATTTAAGCGTATATTTATGAAAGTGTAGATTAAATGAAGTATGTTTCTTGCAGTTATCTGGAGCGTCAGGACTTCTTACAACGCACCGATCTGCGGCAATTCGAGATCGAGAAAAATATGCGCCAAACGCGGCGTCAAAACTAATTGATCAACTCATCCTCATCCTCGCGAAATACTTTCCAAACACACATTCACACTCGCACTGTCCACACACATTCGTACACGTCTTTCAATTCGGATAGTGCGTATGCTTAATAAGATATATAATTTTATATACACTATATCCGTATTGCTGTTCCAAGCACTATCGCATCATCTAATACATTCAAGTCGTACAATTTTAAAATGTAAAACGCTATAAACACTGAAGAGCAAAACATATATAATTATATACGCAGAGATTAAGTGCTAGCTGAATGACTGTAATTCCCAATTGGTTAAAGTATTAAGGATAATATGGATTTATTTAACTCTTTCTTACTTTGAGATCAAACTGATTGGCTCTAAGCATTAAGGACATTGTAACATAGAAGTTCTTGTAATCCAAGAATGCCCATTTCATTGAGGATGGAAATGTTATATATAGACGTCCTCATCTATTCCTCAACTGTGAAGCCCACGCGCTTGGTATCGCTGCGAGTTAAATGAAGGAACAAGCCGGCAAGTATGCAGCCCAAGCTGCCAAAGCCAATGCACAGCCATCTAAACCAATTGTTGGCATTCAGCACGCTGTATATAAAGATAAAGGATAAAGATAAGAGAGTTAAGCAACTGGATTGTTTACTCTTAAGCTCAACTGACGCAAATATCTTTTTGTGCAGCAGCTGCGTTATCTTTTCATCCAGCTGCAACGATTCCTCGATCCAAAAGAGTGGCATAGCCACAGGACGCAGCTGCGACATTGTTGGCACATCCTTAACTGGCGCAACCTTCAAACTGAACTGCAGGCGATTATACACAGAGAGCACTGTACCAGATAGCTAAGAGAACTTGGACTATTATAGAGAGTAATTGCAACAGTTAAACCAGCCCTATTTCACCTGCTCGAAGATCATTGTGCTGGCATGTTTAGTAGCTGTTGGCGAAAGCCCTTCGACTTGCTCCAGTAACTTCTGATCCGCCCGATAAAAGTGCGGCAAGGAGGCCATTAAAGGCGTGCCACTGCAGCGCATTAGATCCATAGTTCCATCAGCTGGACAGTCGCCGGGATAATCCGTGCAAAAGCAGTGCAGATCCGGTTCCGTCTGGAAAATATTGAATTAGGACTTTACAGAGAGTTTTTCCTTAAGTATTTGTTATTTAGGGGCTTATTATAATATATATTTATCCTTATTAGTTTAAATTCTGAAGAGGTAGGAATAGATTTCCGATGTTTTCCCGAGTTTTGTATGAATCTGCTCACTTACGCTTGGCGATCCAAAGCTTAGCTCGTAGAGCTGAGCGGGCAGCTTGTTGTATTTGGTCTTGCCCATCGACTTGGGTGTCAGAGAGCGGCACAGCTGTGCTGAGTAGCTCCACAGGCCCTGGTGCGGCCGCATTAGCGGAGCAAAGATGGTGCCATCTGTGCCGCGCAAGCGATTGCAGCTGCTGTTGCTGCTGTTTGTCTCCTGCCACACCTGCAACTGCTCCGCTTCGTTGAAGGATAGAACTCGACCCACTGTCAATTGCTTAGAGCTGGTGAGTGTCACTTTGAAGCGTCCGGCATTTGTGTGATTGCCCTGCAAAGGGAAGCACTTCAATAGGAAAACTTTAAATATGTTCCTTAGGCTTGACTTGCCGCGCCCATCAAAGAGAATTTGTAGTGCGTGGCGTTGAGGGAGACAGCACCAGGTACGGCGCCTGCTTGGAACTGCTGGCAAATGGCCTGCACCGCGGCATGATCTGAGCCGCAGTTGACGTCGATGCCAGAGAAAAACAAATCCTTGAACTTGGCTGTTATAAAAGCGCTTTGAGGTGTGAAAATCAGATCCAGTCCCAGAGCAACAGCAGCCTGCACTTCGGCTGGCTGTCCCAGATTTGCTATGGCCAGAAACTAAGGCGGCGAAGTTGGTTGAAATAGCGAGACTCAAGTACAACTTAGGATTTACCTGCAGCAAGGGATGTGGCATAGTTATAAGCTCCTCCCCGCTCAGACCCAAATCGGATCGGAACTGAAATGTGTTGCGCATGCTAAAGCTGATTGCGTTCTCTGCTTCGATATCCACAATGTCATATTTGTCTTTCCATTCTCTGCAAAGCAAGAACTGTCATTAAATAAATTCTAGATGGGCCACTGCTGCTTACTCATAGACAAATGGACCCACTTCCTGTAGCTGCGGCTTGCCACCGCCTTCTATATCCTGCGCATTCGTAACATTGAATACATAAATCTTAAAGCTGAGTGGAAACGGCATTTTCTCCCACAACTGACGCGTGTCACTGCCAGGCTTAAGATTAACACTCTAGGCAAATATGTATATATATAATATATATACTATATACTATCATATCACATCACTCACTCGCTTGATCAGCTGCTTAAAGACCAGGGGAAATGCTAGAAATCCAATCAGGGCGCCCAGCAGCAGCACCACGAAGGACACAATCATAACTTTAAGATACATTTTCACTTCGACTACTCGAGCTCGTTTGAGCTAGTTATTTTTGAATCGCCCTCATTTAATACGATTCGTGTGGCATAATTTGGGAATTTTTAATGCGGCTCTCATCAATTTTTGATAACTTCGATTCCTGGCAAACTCTCGACATTTGTTTATCAACTGAACAAGTTGCGCCTAATTAACATGTGACCCATTTAATTTGTTGTTTTTTTTAGAGCCTCTATTAAGTAATTAGTGTATTGATTATATACAGCAGAATTGTAAACTGTATTTAGAGCATTAAATATTTATCAAAGATGCAACAGGTGTGAAAACTTGTTTAGAGCGCTTGCTACTTAGCCGGGACAGCCACCATTGGCTTCGGTCTTAGCTAGCTTACAGTGGTGGCAAGAATAAGCATGTCACATATGTAGAATAGCGGGAAATTAGATTTAATGAATTGATTTTTATTTTAAAAACTAAAAATATATTTAAATAATGACTTATTTTTACTTCTTTATCAACATTCATCAGTGAATTATAGTTGCAGTACTTATGAGAATCGCAAAGAAGGCCGTTTGGTTTCGCTTAAGACAATATTCCTGAATATGCAATCTCAACCGTTTCCTGAAGTCTTCTCTGATTTGACTCCTCATGCACTTCACATTCACAATAAAAACCAATTTCGTTTCACATTTAGGCCATTTGAAGACATTTATTATTAAATTTGGCATTTGGAATATGATCAACATAACGTATAAAAGCCGCGGGCACTGAGCACTTGGCTAAAACTGAAAACACGTGTAAATACTACGCTAGATACAAGCTACATTTAGATATATGTATATATATTAGGGTACAGTTAGGACGTTCATTATAAATATATATATATAAATTATATACACTTAAATTCCACTAAGAAAGCAAAACTAGAAAAACGAAATAAAATTTGTACAGTTCTCAAAATGTTGGAGATACGCAGATCTGAATATGTATGTGTAGGAGGTGTATATATATAGATAGTTTGTATATGATAAAAATCAGTCAAGATTGAGGAGACACACGAAGAGAGATTCGTTTCGAAGTTTGGAGTTCTAATCGAGTTCCACCTCCTTGAAGAGCGTTTGGCTTTCGGCTTCGCGCGTGAGCGGCATTGCCGCCTGCTCCTCGTGCAGCTCGACGATCTCCAGCTGCTTGAAAGACGTTTGGCTAATGGCCTCGCGCGTCACAGGCTCCTCCAGGACTTGTTCGCTGGTGGGCGGCAAGGACAGGCCAGCGGATAGCATATGTGAGGCTGAAGTGCTGCAAGGATCAAGGCGAGAAATCAGGAGATTAGTTAACTATTTGCAGACTGTGCACTATTGTTGGACTCACTTCAAGGAGTAGGTGGAGCGATAGAGCGGCGGCGGGGTATTCATGCGCACTGCAGCATACGCTGCCTGTGGATGGGCGCTGGGATGATAGACGAAGGCGTACTCGTTCAGCGAGGTCAAATACGAGGGCGGCGGCGGCCGATGCTGAAACTCTGGATAGAGATAGCTGCCCGGAAGCAAGCGATTCGTGCAGTGCGGACTGTTGCAGTTCCGGCAGGTCTCCATGCGTCGGAAGCAGGGGCAATCGTCCACATCGTCGGGCAGACTGAGACGCCAAATGGCGCCCGAAATGACCAGCAGGGAGACGCCAATGCCAATCATCAGCAGCGCAGCGCTCAAGTACTGTGTCGAGTGCTCAATCAGACCCGTCGAGCCCAGCACAATGCCGCCCAGCGTGCAGGCGACGCCGCCCAGCGCAAAGATGCCAATGACAAAGGGCAGCGAGGGTCGCGCGAACCATTTGCGAAAACTGTAGCCCAGCGGAGCGCCGCCCAGCTCAGCGCTGTCCGCCACACCAGCTGCCATAGCGGACATGTTCAGGTTGGTGCTGGCCATAGTGTTGGCCACATCGCCGCTGCCACCGGCCAGCGGTACAGCCACGTCCAAGAGCGTTCTGTAAGCAGAAGAATAGACAATGCACTGTGAGAAAAAGTTGGTAGAAAATGTAAGCAATGCGAGGGGCTGGGAATGTTATAAAATATATAGGAAGATATCAAATTGAATGACTTTTTATAGATTAAGGTGTACACTAGGCTATGCCTAAGTTAGGCTAAATGTGTCTTAGGATAGCGTGTGGTATATGGTATCTATCTGAGAAGGAGAAGGAGATTAAGAATGCCAATGAAAATGAGGCATACTAAGATAAAGAATCTTTTAGATAAGATAGTCCCAATTACTTTCGATAGTGTAAGATATATAAAATCTATTTCTAGAGTATCCTAGAATATGATATATAGAAAATAAACTGTGAGAAAAATGTTAATATATATTTATATATATATATAAAATCTTTTCTCTCAGTGCACTAAATTTATCTCGCCTTTGACTGCCAACTACCTGAGTTGCGTTGTTCAGGTAGGCTAAGGTCTAGCTGCTGCGGCTCATATTACATCATAGGTCCAGAGGATCCTTTGCTCAGCCACATGTTACGCGTCCTTTGCACTTATGCCCTAACTAAGCGCACTTCGCTGCTCCTCCCCTAGTTCCAACTGCTGCTCTTTGTCTGGCTTTCAAATCTATGATTTAGAACACACACACAGAGGCACTCGTACACACACACATATGCACATTTGTTGTCCAGTTTGTGCCTGCATAAATTGTCGAAAAAGATTCTTTGAGCTCGACACATTGCACCTGCCTCTGTCCTGACTCAGACCCTGATCCTTACACACACACAGACAGACAGACAGCCAGACGCACAGATATCCTAAGCATGCCCCTCGCTGTGCGTGTGCGTGGCCCATTTGATTTTAGAACTACTTGGCAGCTGTTTCACATTTGATTTGCTGTTTGGCTTTTGTCTTTCTCTGCTTTGTATCTTATCTTTTTGTATCTTTTGGCTGTCTGTCAGGCAAGGGCCTGGAATACCCCTACCATCATTTATTTTTCAGCCATAAACTAAATGTGAATTGTTTATTTTTTAAATGCGTCCAGCTCGAAATATTAAAACTACATAAAACTATTAATTCTGCTGCATTGAGGTGTGAAGAGTAAACCAATTTTGTTGCATCGTAAAACCAAAATATGCGCATAAATCAAAAGCTGACGGCCAGGAAGCATTCAACAATAAAATATAAAAAATTTAAAGGAAAGCGTTTGAAAAGCCCTAAAAAACTGAAGAGCATAAAATGTTGGGGTTGTGGTTGAGGCTGAGGCTGCGGCTGACAGAGAGTCAAACGCTCGAGATTTCATTTAATTACAAACGCCCAACAGCTGCGGGCGCTGCGCCGCCCCGATCAGCGGCTCCCCTAGACTAATTCAAAGACAAAGCGCGTCACAGTCAATTGTCTGTAATTTGTCATATGAGAACTAAAAAGAAAAAATAACAAAAAAAAGGCCCACAGAAAACGAATAAAAAGTGAAAAACTATAACATTAATTAGGCTCCTCTGGAAATTGGGCTGCTCCGTCAGAAGTGGGGGCCATGTTGGATGTGAAGGAATGTGGGCTACGATGTGATTATGAGTGAAATTTTAGAGGTAGACTTAAGTTTGATTAGTTTTGCTTAGAAGAAGCTGAACTTCATTTAAAACTTAAGCAGCTTAACTATATTAGTTATACAATTAGTTAAGCTACTTAAAGAGTTAGCCAAATGTGCTTCATTATCTACAATTTCTAGATAATGAAAAGCATCTGTTAGAAGTTACTCTAAAAACTAAAAATATTGAAGCTATATGATATGATAACTATATATTTTATATAATCAAATTTTTAAATGTTTTTTTTTTTACAGATCTGTATTAGATTATATTAATAATATTCTTTGAATATATATTTTTATTTATTTTGTTTTATATTATTTTGCAAAGAAAAATGTTTTCTGGGATCAAAGTCTTTGAAATAATTTTCAACAAGATCTAACAAATATTTATATAAATTAAAATTAAAATTTTTATTTATTTCAATCAAACAAGATATATCTCAATCAGAATACAATTTTATTTTTGTTATTTCTGTATAAGTTTTCTATAATAATAATTTCTATAATAATAATTTCGTCAGCAGACTTGCATCAATTGAAATTTTAAAATATCTGAACTGGAAATTTAATTTGAATTTAGCTCAATTCGAAAACAGAGAAATAAGTTTTCTCAGAATAAATTCTTTAGCGAATTTCCTTATAAGATTTCTAGCATATTAAACTCAATCAAAATCTGCAACTAAAATCTTGAAACTTATCTTTTTTCTTTCAATGAAAACTTACATAAGCTCGACAATGAGTTTTCGCATAAAAGCTACATGAGCTGTAGTCATACTACATAGCTGACTTATATATAAATATAAGTATTTCTTTTATAAAAAAAAGTTTCAGTTACAAATTTGATAAGTTTAGCTTGATTGTGCTTACATAAACCAGCTTATCGCGAAAGTGTAGTTTCATATGGTTCTGCTATAAATACAATTATGCAGAACTTAAATATATATATATATATATATATATACATATATATATATATATATATATATATATATATATAAAGTCAGCCACAGCAAACGAGGAAAAATAGTAAAAGAAAGAGCTGAGTGCACAGTTTATGCTTGTAATTGGGGCGTGAAGAGACACAAAAATTTGATATTATATAAAAAAAGAAGTCATTTATTAATAAAAAAAAAATATATATATATATATATATCTGTTGTAAACATTATGTATGTCGCGTATTGTCACACTTATTTATGACATTTGTAAGTTGTCAAAAAAAAAGAAGAAAGAAAGACACAAAAAAAAAACACTCTGATGCATGCTGTCTGGTCGTAGATCAGAGAAATGATGGACATACATCGCTTGGGCCATGCCATAAATTTTATTCACATAATTCAGTCAAAAGCTTCGTTTATAATTTGCAACACGTACGACATATAATATGCAACTGTTCTCCCCGCATTGCTGTGTGTATCTTTCAGATACTTTATGTTCCAGCCCGCCTGACGGCCTTTTACAATGTCTTTAATGATCTTTGGCTAACTGTTTGAAATAAAAGTTCGATCATTTGTCAGCTAGATCGTTAGCTAATGAAGCGACACGCGCCACAGCATACAAAGGTACAAGATTCCAGATATAATATACAAAGATACAGATACATTTGTATATATAGAAAAAGATACTTAGATACAATATTTGTTTGCCCCTGCTGCACTGTGGCACTTGTGACTTATGTGCTTGCATCTTGACACCGCCAGCATTTTTAATGACACCCTTCAGCCACACACACACACACACACACACACACACGCCTAATTTATGTGCTTTTGTGTGTGTGGCATTTATTGTTATTCGAATATGTTCGCTGCACTCTCGCCGGCTCGTAAACATTTGCTGCCTCGCTCGGCTTTCGGTTTCGGTTTCTTCGACTCTTAAGCTCAATCAGCGCGCATTGTAACTGAAATGGGGCAGCCAAGCAGTGAGATGCTGCCACAGATACCTCGCTCGCTGTGCCACATGAGGCAGCAAGCTATATGCCATACAAATAAAATAGCTATAAACGTGCCTGCGGCACTGCAACTAAATATCATATTCGGCTGAAGATAAAATTTAATGAGTCTATCGAAATTTATCGATAACTTTATTTTAATGTTATCAAATTGAGAAATCAATTGAAATATTTCGTTCGTGTTATGCAGAGGCTAAATATTTCATTGTCATTGTAGATGTGGGCAGGCGTAAGCTTATCAGCTTGAGATATATATTGAACTGAGGAATAGTCGATTGTTCTATATGGTATAAACAGAAGTAGGCGTGGCTGTTGCCTTAAATGTTAATATGCTTGAACTGCAGCAATAGTCGAGCTGATCTAGCTCTGTTTATCTGTCAATCTTGTCTTAGGAACTTTTGTATAGCAGGTATCGATCATATTTGTTGCATAGACTCGATAGCTTAATTTTCCATTTATCATGCAATCGATATATAAAATGATCGAATTTTATTTATGTGTTAAGAGAGAGTCTTCAAATTTGATTTCCGCATATTTTTAGTCGAGCTAGTTTTCTAGCCTAGCTTATGTTTTACAGATCTGACTGATCTTTCGTTCAGAATGATCACAGATGAATGATTAGCTCTAAATAGCACAAATCAGTTAATTGGAATTCGCATTATTGAGCATACCCGGAATAAAGTAATCTGCTCAGACCACAAAATAAAGTAATTATAAGTAAATTATATACATTTTCTAAGATCTAGTTCTGCCCCTTTGTGGGATCTAATGTTCATAGGGTATTCGAGTTGAAGTAGTTGCTATTGGATTGCGTAGCACAATCTCCGCAGCGACTTCCGTTGCAATTTAGCTGTCCTATTGTCTGTCTGCAAGATCCGAGTGCCGTGAGTCGAGACTTGAGACTTTCTTTGCCGCGTCATTAGCCGCAGCGAACGCATTAAGCCACTTGCTGCTTGCTGACTGTTGACTGCTGACCCAATTTTCAGCTTGGGTCTCTAGCAACTGTTGACTGTCATTAGGCATAATTACTTCCCTAATAGCATTCGCTGCTTTTGGCCAGGTTTGTTAAAAACACTTACATTGCGCATGCGCATGCGTAGCCCAAAACACTTGACCGCGCAGCTCTCAGCAGCTGAGACATAATTAAGAATGCCATTAGAGTAAAAGCCGTCAGGTAAAAGACAATAGAAGCCGTAATTGGGTGCCAAAAAAGACAACAATAAAAACTAACAAAATAAAGTGAAATAGGAAATGCGTAAATGTTATAAAAAAAAGTCACGCCACAATTCTCTGTGCGTAATATGTAAATGTACTTAAAAAAACAGTTTGAAATTAAAAATTTCTCGTTTGAAATTGGCCGCCGTTGTATGTTGCATGTTGCATGTAGCATGTTGGCTGTGAGAGAGGCGTCAACCTCACATTTCACATAGTCCGAGTACAAAGTATGATTAAAAGTCGATTAGAATTATTAGGCATAAATTTGGAGCTTAAAAGATCCTCCCCAGCAGCTGCTGCTGCTGGGCAAAAGAAAACGTGAAATATAAGCGGCTTAGGCCATAAATCGCTCTAGCTATTGTTTACAGCTTAACTGGGCCTACGGGTTGACCCAGTCGAGCACGAGCTCGCCTATGTGTGTAGGCTACTGTTTTTTTTTCCTGCTTCCCCCCACTTTTGGAAGAAGAAGAAGAAAAATGATGATGAGCCTGATGCCGTCTAAGAGCTAAGAGCCCAGCCTATCATTAAACAGAGCGGACTGTCTTTCTTCTCCGCACACACAGCGGTTCTTTTTCTTCTTCTTCTTCTTCGTCGTCTCTACCCTAATGAATGCCCACATTAAGCTGTACTTAAGCTCGGCTTCAGACATAACTGTACTGCAACTAATGGATTTCTGTAGATATATCTAAAAGTATATATATATACACTTATATATCATTAGTTATTTGAAAAAGCCCTAGCTGCTGAGCTGTCTGCTGTCTGCTGTTTGTTGTTAGGCTTAGGGCTGTTTAACAAAATTTGTTTAGCAACCCTTAAGGCTAAACACTTGAAAAATATTATTAGTCAGCAACGGGCAAAGCTGGCAAAGCGGTAGCTGAAGTTGATTGCCCTATGATCCATTTTTATATGCACTGACTTTGGGCAGCTTCGAAATGTTATTGAATTTGTCAATGGAATATTTTTTAAGAATATATATATAATTGATGATTATGAAGGGTGGCTATAGGAAATACTATATATACTATATACTCCACTCAAATTTAATTTTTTGGCACTTATTCGAGTCACTCTAGCTTATATGTTATTTTTAACTACATTTTTCATATAAAAATCTTAAAGCGCATTCAAGCTTCAGCAGTTCAAAGTCTTTTTCTATTTTCAAAAATTTCAAAGTCAATTTTTTTTATTTTGCCTGCCCTCATGGCTGCATCTGTCTGATAAAATATGCCAGGCAAAAAAAAAAAAATAAATAAAATTCAATTTTGCTGTAAAGTGTTAGAGGGTCTGAGTAGTGCTTTCGGTCTTTGGATGGGATTTGGGGTTGCTGCGACAAAACGCTTGAAGGTAACAACGTTTATTATCAATAAACGCCAAAGGCTATTCGAAAAAGGGGCGAGGGACCTCTAAAAATCAACTTGAAGTTTTAAAAAAAACCTAAGAAGAAGATCTGTGAGTAATGAGCATTTTATGGGCTGATGAGTTTTGTAGTTGGAGTGTGTGTGTGGTTGTGTGCGTGGCACAGATTAAAGACGCAGTTATATGATACTTCGGCCGCAGGGACTTGTGAATGGGGGCAGGTTTTCTGCTCATTCATCAGGATGTGCGAGGACATAAGATTATAAAGCAGGCCAAGCCAAGCTAGTTAAGTGACGACCGAGAGACGACCACAAAACTGAAATTCAAACTGACTATTGATGCGACTTCCTCTGCACACGGCCAACTCTGTCGCTCCCTCTCCATCTCACCCTCTCTCTCTGCTTGTGGTGTCAAATGACAGCGTCAAGAAGGTGAGTTCAAGGAACGAAAAACTCTGATGAACACGATTCGTGCCATGGCACTAAAAAAAGAATTTCAATTCGAACTCTAGGCCCAATTCTTTGCCTGTGCACTCAAGCGTTACACTCTATCGATTTTATGTGCACAACAAATATACACACACACATACAGCACACACATTACATTGTCAAATTATTTTGAACTCTCGTTTTTGATTTGTTTAGGCAGTTTTTCCCTTTTCTTTCATTTTTCCTATGAATTGTGTTACTGAACTTGTTGCCAATGTTTGTTTCATATTGAAAATTGATATTTTCTGATATGAAGCGCAAACAATTGTTTCAATTAACTCTCAAGTGCTATTTAATGTTGTCATAGATACCCTGTAAACAATTAAAGTGCAGTTAATGCATGTAACAATGTCATATCTCGAACATATCTATTTATCTCGAACATAACTATGGATTCTCTTTAAAAATTTTATGGTTATATATGAGAGTATCAACTATTAATACAGAAAATTTCATTATTGTAGCTATAATAATACTTGAGCTATTTGAGTATTAGCAAAGCTACTAAATTGTTGCCTTTTAGAAGTTACGCTCATATTATTTTTCTATTAATGCTATATATTTTATTTATATAAATTTTACAATTTTTCATTCAAATGAACGCCTAAATTATTTTTTGAAAATTTGCATAGGGTATCTGCCAGTCGTTCATGCTCTTTTCTTTAACGCTATCAGAATGCATTTCTGACAGCAAATATTTGACTCTTGTAAATGTCATAATTTTTCTTTTTTATGATCTTTGAGGTCTCTTGGCATACAATAATACTATATATATAGTATTTCCATAGGCATGATAAGGGCATCTCGCCTTGGCATCTCGTTAAAGCTTCTCATTGGCTGTCTATCACTTTTTCATTACTGATTTTGATTTTGATTTTTATTTTGTGGAGTGTCTCGTGTCAATCGTTCCGTTTTTTATTTATTTTTTTATAGTTCCAGTTTTTAATTGGCTTTGCTACGTTTTCCTTGACCCATCAAAGGGGGCTTGACTAATGCCTAATGCAGGTGTCCATCAAATACTTCTGGCCGCTGAATCGAGCGTAGCTAATTGTGAAACTTACAAACATTACGAGAGTTTCATGTGCTTCTGTATCTTTTGTTGTTGAGCTCATTAATCATGTCGCCTATTTTAATAAAAATTGTATTTTCTTCTCTTATTATTTTTAGTTACAACTTGCCTAAAAATACTTTTTGGGCTCTTATAACTATGACAATTAATCAAAGACATTTTTTGTTGTTGTTGTTTTTGTTGGACATGTTCCATGTTCTGTTGGGCTGACAAAATTTATGCGCCACTATTAATTTTGATGCTTCTAGCACAAAATTCCACGAATTGATGAGCTGTGTGTGCATGTGATAGACTAAAGTGATACCCTGTATATATTTGGAAGTGTCTTTGGTATCTAAAATGTTTGTAAAACTGTGTTGAAGCAAATATAGTTTATTGAATTTTATAAGTATAAAATTGATCGATTAAGGCTTTACAGTGTTATCGATAACATATATCGAAAGTTTTTAAAGTTTATTTTTGTTAATATTTGTTGGTCTTTTTTGATTTATGTATAATAAAAGCATTTTAGTAATTGAAATTAGTGAAAATAATGATCGATAATAATTTAAGCTGCTTATCGATATTCATAATTGACTGTGCTAAATGTTTATTATCGATTTTGAATAGAAATATATATAGGGAATCTGATGCTTATAAGCGAAAGATAAGTGAAACATATTGAGCAAATTGTTTGCTGTCGATAACCGATAGTTATCGAAAAAGATTTCAGACTATGAATAGTCAATAGCTATGCTTTAATTTCTGTAGATATGTAGCTTATCAGCTTTATATTAAGCCTGGTCTTATCACATGCTGTACAATATACCCAACAGCAGTCACGGCTACAGGGTATATGCACATACAGCTTTTGTGATAATCGCCGAGGCCTTACATGTGACATGTTAAACAGCAGCAGCAGCAGCAGCAGTTGTGCCCCTCGCTGCGGCAGAGGCAGTGCCAAGTACAAACGTCTGGCCGTATCTTTAGCTTTATGGAATTCCTCTCGTGTGCATATCAATGTCAGTTAATCTGCCCAATAAGGCATAAAGTGGAGTGGCATAGAGAGCCGACTGCTGACTGCCGAGTGTGGCTGCCCTTTAAAGACTTGCCAAGTGGCAGCAAATCTCTGCTCCAGTTTCTTCGCTTGTGCAAGGGGAAGAGCATTTGCTTGTGCGTGACATGATTTTTGTTGAATGATAAAGTTTTATTTCTGGAGCGGCAGCAGATGGAGGAGCAGGAGAAGCAGCAGCAGCCAAAGCAGCAGCAGTAGGCCCCGCGGCAGCATGCCAATTATAATTTTAAATGCGTCTGTCAAACTTTCGGTTTCAGCGAGACGGCCACATCGAGTGGCTACTGTAACAGCGCCTCGTCTGACCAGGCGAGGCCAGACAGTAGCCATTTTTAATGGTCACTTCCTGAACGATTTCGGTGTGTGTGGCTGGCTGCCCTTTGGCTACCGCTGTCATTTTAGCGTCTGTTTTTATGCCACTTTTTATGGCACATTTTGAGAGAGAAAAAAAGTAGCAGAAGAAGTTACCTGCGTAGATGATGATGACCATGCGGATGGGTCAGGCCTATGGGTCGCTGCTGATAGTATTGATGATATTGCAGCTCGGGATTCGCATTGAGAAAGGGTGAAGTGGCCGCCGCATTGGCCATGGCATTGGCGGCTGCCGCATGATGATGATGATGGTCCAGGAAGATGGTCGTATATTGTGGCGGGTAGCTGCCAACAGGTGGCGCTCCGTTGGCAGCAACTGTGGCGCCAGCGCCTGCGACTGCAACGGGATTGCTGTTGCATTTGCCTTTGTTGTTGCTCTTGCTGTGGGACTTGCGGCGCGTGCGCTTGCTCTGGCGGGAGTCGGAACGAGAGCAGGCGCTCGTGTTAAGCGCTGCAGTTGCGGGTGGTGCAGCAGCTCCAGCTGCAGTGGAAGTGAATTGCAGCTCACTGTAGATGCTCGACTCGAGCATGTTGCTCTCGGATGTGGTGCGATTCAAGATGAACTGCTCAAATTCGTTATCCTCCTCCATAGAGAGGCCGCATTGCTGCCGATGCTGATGCTGCTGTTGCTCTAACAGCGCTGTGCATTCGGCAGACATTTCCTCATTTCCATTCGGATGCGCTGCATCAATGTCATGGCGACTCCGATGGAGGCTGTTGCTGCTCTGACTGGCGCTAATCACAATTTCCGGTATGACAAATGTCGAAATTGGTGGCGGCGGCTGTTGTTTCCTGTGCTCGTTCATGGCTCCCAGCATGGTGCCGTTTTCAAACACAATAGTAGGCGTGGCAGCCATCACTTTATTAGCACAAATACACTTGGCTCCTTAGGCTCTTAAGCACTATATATTATAAATTTATTTCTTTTTGGGTCCCTAACTGCGTCTGGCCCTCAATTTATAACATTTTTCATTTATTTTGGCACAAAAAAACTTTATATAGATTTTCTTCTGCTTTTTTATGTAGCTCGACTTTCGCCTGTACGCGCCAAATTTTTACGCACACGAGTTTTGCAGCAATCAGCTTTTTGCTTGTGGTAACGTGTTTAGCTCCTACGCTGCGTGCATGAACCGTCTCGGTGCGCGTACCGCCAAAAACTGATTTGTATTGTTGATGCGTTTGTTGTGTTTACGGCTTCTGGTTTTTCAACTTCAATCGCTCTCTTCTATTTTCTCGCTCTCTTTCTTGTTTTGTTCGTGACGACGTCGACGTCGTTAATGGTTCTCTCTGGTATAAGCAACCACCACCAACAAGGCAAACGCATACAGTTCGTGCGCTGCATCTCATTGACGACGTCACTAATGCTGCTGCTGCTGCACTCTCAATAGCGCTCACGCACTAACACTAGCAAGAAACACCCTCGCCCTCACATTCGTTGCAAAGATGTTCGACGAGTTTTTGAGCTCCACAGTTCGTATGCGTTGGCTCTCTGCTCTTCCTCTCTTTGGTTTCCATGTTGTTGTTTACTTCGCTCTCTCTCTCTCTCTAGCTGCTGTCTTCCAGGAGCGTACTTTTGCTTTGGGCGCATTTGCAGTAGTAATTGCATGTTGCTCGAACTCTTCTGTAGTCGCTCCTGTGCCCGTCGCTTCACACTTTTACTAAAAGAACATTTACATGTAAATACTGTGTTAGAGCGCCCCTGTTTGGGCCCGCATTTGCCACAGTTCTGCCTCTGCCTCTCCTTGGCAACTCACTTTTGGACGAAAAGAAGAAAACATAAAACGAAGCCAAACAAGAACTGTGACCAGGAAGGGACAGCCTGGCTCTCCAAATAAACACCACAAAATCCCAGTGTGCAACGAAAATCTATCTGCAAGATACAGATACACACACAAAAACGTTTGTGTGTTGAATGCCGCATTACACATTTTTTTTATATATTCTTATTTTTTTTTTTGGCGAGGGTGAAATATTGTTATTGTGCTGCAGAACATTTTCAATGAAATCTACTCTTTATAATAGAATATTATTTCTATTATTTTTCTTATTTTTTTGCAGTCATTCTTCAGCTTGTTTGCAATTGTATCTTTTGGGTTTTTGTTAGCTGCCTTTTCAGGCATTTAATTAAAATGCAACGTAGAACAAATAATATTTGAATTTTTGTTTTGCTTGCTCCGTTGGGTCACTTCAGTCTTGGCCCCAACTTGTTGTGAACTTGCAAAGCTTTCTGTTGCAATTCGAGTGGCACTTCTCAGAATAAAAGCGTATAGCACAAATATTTGCCATTATTTTTAAGTTACTTTGAGTCTCTCCTGTCGAGGGTCCACACAAACACAAATACAAACTCAAACACAAACACACAGCCAGCTAAAGCTAAAGCTTTGAAATGTTGATTTAAGACGCATCTTTGCTAAGATTGAGCCTTATTAGCTTAATGGCTATTAGGCTAATAACTCTTGTATCGAAGCACTCGGCGAGCTGAGCTGAGCGGAGCGCCACTCGAGCTAACATGAAAAGTAAAAGCAAACTTTTCAGCCAATATCAAAGTCACGGCGTCTGCACATTTTAGACAATTACCAATCTGTTCAGACACGCATATGTCTGCCATATAATTTCAAATTTTTTTGCCTGTTTTTCCATTTTTTTGTGTATTTCTTTTTTGGCAATAGCCCTGCAGACAAAATGTGGCTTAATCATAAGATACAATACGCTTGCGCAAATTAGCCGAGACTTCAAGCCGAATCGCCAGTTGCTGCAGTCTGACCCTATGCTTTAAAAGCGACCCTTTTTGATACCCTGTTAGCTTAAAGTGGCGAAAGAGGTTAGCTTCAAAGTGTGAGAAATTTATTAACTCTCTATGTGTGTACATCAATATATGGGTGATATGTAGAGTTCTTGAAGATAGAACTGCCTAGTCATATATATCCAATCTAAGATATAAAAGATCATATTTATATATTTATCAAACTATTTTTTTAAATGATAATTTCAAAGTGTGCGTATATTCGGTATCGGACTTAGGGCTTCTACTTTTATCTTCTCTAGTAGTTAGAGCTTGCCAGAAATGCCCAGTTTAGAAATTAGATTGTCGCTTAAAAAATTCAAGACAAATTAAAACATTTTTAAATTAAAATTCTGTTGAATATTCAGATATTTTCTTTTGCAACTTAAAGTTCGGCTTATTGTATAAAATGTTTCAATTTGGGTTCAAAGTTAACCAACATTCGAGTATCTCTGAGTCGATCAAGTAAATATGTTTAGCTGTTTATTTAATTTTATTTTCGTGTATGTTGTCTGCATGTTGTGTTCTGTTTTGCTCTTCTCTTTTTTTTTTTTGGACAAGCACGCGCTCTGCTCATAATTACCAATTAGATGCTTTTCAATTTTTCGCTGCGGCCAGCGCTCAACACGTTTTCGGCCATGGCCAAGTTGATGGATGGTTAGCTGCTTGGATGGTTGGCCGGTTGGCTGGATGGTTGGGTAGAGACTCCTTCATCACTAAGCCCTGGTCCGTTGCATGTAGTACTTAAGTTGCTGTCTCATGGCATTTTTTATATTTTTTTTTGTTGTGGTCACGTTGCATGCAACACTTGGACTCGGATAAGTTGTACCTGTCTATCTTGTGATGGGGCTGCCACATGAGTTGGCATTTATACTTATCATATTACGAGCCACAAACCACAAACATTTCATTTTGATAGCGGAAATTTGAGCAACTTTATCGAGTTTTTTCACTTTGGTTTGCTTTTTTTTTTCATTTCTTTTTTTTCTTGTTTTATTTTGTCATTTTGTGTGTTCAAACTTGTTATCAAATGTTCTACAGTTTCCGGTAAAAATGTTTCCGCTAGTGTCCAAAAATAAAAAACTTACTTAACAAAGTCTCAAACGAACTGTGAAATTTGCATTTCCGTGCCGTGTTTCTCAGCTCCAGTTGATTCGAAACTGTGAATACGAAATGCAAATTTATGTTAATCATAAGCCAAAGGCAACAAACAATGCGTCGCCAGTGTTTTGTAATTGGCACAAATCGTATTATTAGCTGCTTGATTAGCCAGTCTATGGCCACCATTCAAGACGAGTAGCAGTTGCTGTCATTAGCATAGCATTTAGCCAAAATAAACATCAGCAACTCGAACGCATTCTCAGCTACGCATGCTTTGCTCTTGTGGCCAAGTGCAGCTTTACCAATAACCCAATGCCAGTCAGTGTTAATTTAGAATACCCTATGAAAGTAGCTACAAAAGGGTTTAATAAATTTGAGTGTAGAGAGTTGGAATAGTTTGAAATGGATTCGGATTGAAGTGGCTAACATTTTACACTAACTTCTATAGCGCTGCTTTAGGCTTATCAGCCTCGGCCTTAACTATTTCCGAATATTGATATGCTATCTCTTTTCAAAATTGTGGCAGGGTACATTGTGGTCGAGCATTCCTCAAGCTAAGCCTTTAACTGTTTGCACAGCCTCCTCAGCTGCAATGCATTTGCCGGCCATTGGTCAACATTTGTGATAAACGCGAGAATATTTCTATCTTTTCATCTCTCTATCCGTATATGCCTAACTATATATTTGTATATATCTATATGTATATATGCATCTATCGGGCGATGTGTTTATCTTTGTTACTTGGCCAGTGCGTCAAAGAGTTGGCGCGGGGGCAATTGTGACTGAGTCAATTTGTTTATTTTGTTGCCATTTGTTTGTTTATTGCTGCGAGGCATAGCACAACACGTGAATATATATATGCGAGTGTATTTGTGTGTCTGTGTAGAGTAAAAAGGGCCACTCGAGCTATTTGGGCAAACCTAAAACAACAACAACAAAGCGATCTATGTACATTTTTATGATGCTGCTAAAAATGTTGAAAACATTTTTACCTTTTGATCTCGCACAGTTGTCGTATCTGTTGAATCGTCTCACTCTCGAAAAAAAATAATAAAAAACGAAGAAGAAGAAAAAAAAACTACTCAAACAACGTTAACGCCGCGCCGTGGCAGCGCCCCCGCCTGCATTGCATTAGCATCAAATTGATTTTTCATTAGCTTGTGCCGGCCAAGCGGCTTGTACCAAGCTCGAACTCTAGCTCCAACTGACTCTAGCTGTGAGTATCTGTATCTGTAGCTGTGTCTGTTTCCATGGGCCGATCATAAAAAACAAAAACAAAAATCAAGTTCGATACTTTTCGAAGCTGAACTTGAAGCAAACTGTGCACAGCGTGCGCTGTAAATGCCTTTAATATGATTGGGAATTAAATTTTTTCTCTGTTTCTATTTCTTTTTCTTCGGTTTTGGGCTTTTGCTTTTCGAGAAATGCATATTTGTGTGGGTTACATATTACATATTAGATTAGGGCCCATTGATAGCTAAGGGCAGGCTTTAATGAACTTGTTTTCCATTTTCAGTGTGCGCAAGGTCAATGTAATTAATGTGCGTGTGTGTGTGTGTGTGTGTGTCTGTGTGTGTAGCTCAAAGTTAAATACATTGTATAATTGCCAAGATACTTTGCACATGTGGCTGATTGATAAATTAGCTGTTAGAATTAGCTTAAGCCAAATATATTTATCGCAATTTCGTTGAACGTCTGAAATTCATATGAAAATGTTGAGTTTCTTCTATATATATACATGATTTAGTTAACCAAAAATGTTTGTATATAAACAAACAAGAGAATTAAATGAAATTAATACCAGAAGCTGTGAGAATCGAGCTATAACATGTGAATGTTAAAGGAAAATAGAGAACCTGGTCTAAGATTTTACGAGATATTGTTGAGAGTGTAAAATTGATTGATCGATTTATGGCTGCTGCCAGAGATCAAGGGGAGAGCGAAAGATAGTCTAGTCTTGTGTAACGAGCGTATAACTGTAGCTGCAACATAAGCGATCAGTAGCTATGAGGAAAGGCTTAAGATTGAGAGATTATTGAGAGGTTTCCTAGGATTCTATGTTGAGCTTGGCTATAATATTTATCTATTAATCTGATTGTGATTAAGCATATGTATACTATGTCGAAAATATCTTTTTCTAGGCTATATAGACTTGTCTGCTGGTACTACTGTGCAACTTCTGCCTTGTTGCTCTTCCGCCTGCCTGTCCAACTACTTATCTGTAAATCCATTTAAACGTCCATCTGTCTGTCTGTC